TGAAGAGGGTGATGCCCAGGTGGATTAAGAGGACAAGGGGACTGGGAAGGGTGTTTGGGGCAGAGAAAAGGGTAAAGGCTCAGGTGAAAGGATGCCTGGTGCATTCAGGAGGAGCTACCCGTGATTCAGTGTCTTATGGGCAGGGAGGTGGGGGAAGGGGTGGAGGCTATGAGATGAGGTTGGGAAGGAAGGTGGGCAGATCATGGAGGGCCCCAGCTTGAGGGATTGGAGAGGTGGGCAGATGCAGAGTTAATAAGCCTGCTGATTGAGTGTGGGCAAGAAGGAAAGCTAGGTGCTCTGGATTTCAGATGTCTGGCTTGGAAAACTAGGTCGCTGTGATGTCATTTACTGAGAGAGTGAACCCAGGTGGCAGAAGACAGGTCTAAAGCATGTGGGAGGGGTGGGGGAGGTAGGGACCTGTTGAATCCGAGGCGCCTGTGGACAACCAATTGGTTATGTACCGAATCTTGGGAGAGAAATCTGGGCTGGAAATAAAGATTTGTGATTCATCAGCTCCTAATTAGTCTCAATGACTCCTCTGGTAATTGAAACCTTTGAAGTGGCTGAAGTTAACTCAAGGAGAGTATAAAATAAGAAGAGAATGTTGATGAAAAACCATGGGGAACTCCAGCATTTAAAGGATGGGTGGGGGGAAAAACACCTACAGGAAACGGAGCACAGTGGTTAGGGAGGTAGGAAAGCCAGAGAGGGTCACTGAAGAAGGAGGGAAGGGCCCTTGTCAGCACAGGAATCTGCAATGCACCCTGCTGCCTCATGTATCCTCAACCCCTGAAGGATCAGGTGACCTGGCCTAACCCGCACAGGGTATGAATGAGGAAGCAAAGCTCTCTGCCAGCTCAGCCGCCCACCCAATAGCCTGCTTTATCTAGTTAAATGTTTTTTTTGTGTGAGAAATATCAGATAATGTACCTTTTGGCTTTTAAATAGTAAATATACATTTCTTGTTCTGAGAGCATGAACTAGAATGAAAGAATTACTTCTCTCTATTCATTGATAAATCCTTTGATTTGTCTGTGAAATACAGGGGTGATGAGCCTCACAGAATAGGGTAAGGCTGTGGCAAATTAAATGAATAAATGTAGGTCTGTAATGCTGAGCCCGACACAGTAGGTATTCAATGAGTGATAGTCATTTCTCTGTGTGTGTGTCGCTTTCTCTTTGTCTCTTCTCTCTCTCTCTTTTAACAGAGAACTTGTGTCTTGTAAAATTAAACTGCTGTTTTGGAATTCAGGTTTTTCATATGGCAGATATCCATGAAGGAAAAAAAATGTTGTCATTATTGATTGAATTGTGCTTTTAGAATTAGAATTAGGTTTATAACTAATAGAAACATTGTTTGATAAACTTGCAAACAAAACAAAGCCAAAAATTGTTCTTGCTATCCCCTTGTTGAATCTGGCCCTCTGTTTCAAATTAATTAGATTTTTGGATAACTATGCTAAACTTTGTCACATCCTTATTAAAATTGTTTAAAGATTTTGAAGAACATCTCAAAGGGACTCTGAAACTAATCTGAGTCTGGTACTGGAGATTCCATTAGCAATCACAAACCTGATTAATCTTTTACTCAGTTAGCTGATTGATTATTGCTGCAATTACTGCATGTAACGGATTCTGCAAGGGATACCAGCATGCAACATTTTGTAACTGCAGCTGATGTGTTCATGTTGAGCACAACGTTTTATACCTTTTTTTTACAAAATTGCTTCTGTATTTTTAAATGGTGGAGATATTTGCTTAATATTTTTATAGTATTAGAATTTTTTTAATTTCTCAGTTACTATTAATGCATTACAGTTTACAAAGTGCCTTCACTAATTCTATTCTGCAGTTTAATTTTGAGCCTTACAGTACCCGTGTGACATAGAGTAGATCTCTTTACTCTAATTTGGAGGAAACTAAGGTTCACTGAGGTTAAATGACTTCTTGGAGGCCACTACAAGTTAATAAGTGGCAGAGTCAAGACTGGACCCCATTTTGAGCAATATGTATTTATTAAGCACTTATGTGCAGGGATTTGTGTTAGGAGCAGTGAAAGCCAGGTTAGAATTATAGAGACTAATCTCAGGAAATTATTTAGATAAACTTCAAATTATGACTTCATTAAAGTTACAACGGTTACTGTTATTTTTCTGTCTGACCCATGTTAAGCATCTTGGCATACAAGATTTTGGCCTGTGATTTGTTAGTTGTTGTGTGTTTTTTTCTTTTTATTTTTGTCTAGTAGGAGTCATCTTTATCATTATGTTTATCACTATTTGGAACAAAATTGGAAAGAATCCCTTTAAAGGGAGAATATATAAAAACACTGAGAGGATTAAGATCTAAAAATTACTTGCTTTGAAGCTTAGTAAGTGCTGTCTTCTATTTTTTCATATAAGTCCACATTGATCCTGTGCTCAGAAATGGCCAGTACTGCTACTCATGGGTTTGAGTCCTCTACTCCTCCAAGTTCCTTGCTTATTTCACTATGCAGCATAGGCCTGCTCTGTGCCAGGAAATGCTGTGCGTGGCCCGAGTTTTATCCATGCCCCTTACAGAATGCCGTGTAAGTAGTAGCCTGAGCTCCTAGGCCTGGCACCTTGTTGGCAACCTCCTGGTCCTCAGCAGGCCTGTTCCTCAGAGGCCAGGTGCCTGGAGTAGGCCCGAACCACGGGTTTAATTACCATTCTTTTATAGCTTATCCTTGATGGTGAATTACTTGGCTGTGTGGAACACAGATTCTCTGTTAATACAAACACAGATCAAAATCAGTATTTCAGCAGGAGAAAATGTTCCCTGAGTTTGGAAGAATTGTAAAAAACAAAAAACAGATTCTAACTACTTGCTTTAGAGGAACTGGCAAGTGACATACTTAGTATCATTACTGTGACTGAGTTAATCATACCATCCAAAGAAGTGTTTATAGGTTGCTAAAATCTTATAATGATTATAAAATAAATATGTAGCTTTGCAGTTGATTTGGCACAGGTTTGAAATAAAAGAGAAATCATTTTTTAAAATTTCTTTTGTGAGGTAAATAAAGGTGAAAAGCAGGTCAATTTCATGCATGCAAGGTTTATAGTAGGAAAAAAAAATGCATTGCGCCTATTCTGACCTTTTGCATTTGAGGTTATTTGTTTTCAAACTTGACCCCAAGGACCAGTTTCAGACAACGCTATAATTAATTTGTTAGATAAAGCATAAGGATATTTTATTTGTTTTGATTTCTAGGACTGTGGTGAAGTAGTAACTGAAATTACTAACCTATTGTACATAGCAGTTAATTAAAGAAAAGCATTAACTATAGGAGAACACCACCACTGCTGTTGTCTTGTATCAGTATAAAAAGGCAGTAATTTTTTTGACAGCCACTGATTGGAAAGTTGCTTGCAGCCTTCCAGAAGCAAGGGGGTACATGCTGTGGATCAATAACCGGCAAATTTCCCATTAAAAAGAATACTTGAGCAATGTTCCAAATAGCCACTGGCATCTTAATTTTCCAAGGAAACCTCAAACACTGGTGTGCTGAGGACAAGTCATTTTCGGACAATTTTTCCAGACTACTTGTTAACAGTTATTGCTGTCCCAAAAGGTTGACAGCTTACATGATTGATATTTCATTTACTTGTCATCACTGTTTGAGTAATAGCGACACTATATTTCTGGGGTTTTAAGGAATACAGTCTCCTGAAAGATATCCACCTTAGTCTGTATTCCGGAGAGTACATCGTATATGTTTTTGCTGTATGTATATAAGTTTTTACATACATAGAAAGAGAGGATCGGTTTTATCTACAGCTTGAAAGCCCTTGGAGAGCAGGGCACACTTATATCAGTCCATATCTGTCATAAATTCATCTTCACCTTGTTTTTAAAAGAGCCTTAGACTTGTTAACTTTTTTATTTCCAAGTTGATGTAGAATTTAAGATGTAGAAATAAAGAATTACCTTATTTCTAAGGGAAACAAAAAAACGATCTTATATCGATAATAATTTAATGTACATAAAAGCAATAAGGAGACAAAAATCTATATCTTCTCAAAAGAAACTTAATGTCAGTAATAATGATCATGGAAGAATATTCTGAAAATGTAGTAGTTAAATGATGTGCTTTAATATAAAAATAGCCCCTCAAAACACAAAATCAGAAGTTTTCATTGTTGATATTTTGCCACTAAGAACATCACTTTGTTGTTTGTCAAGTGTTAAGGAAGTGAGGGCACAGAAGAGGTTGCCAAGTTAGATGAACATAAGCTCATTGACTCTCATATTAAGGAAAATGGGAATCAGACTATAATATAACCTATGGAATGAATCTGTTTTTGAAAGGAGCATGAAAGCTTTTTCACTTGAAATTTTTTTTTTTTTTTTGTGCCCAGAATTTTAAACTGAAATGTGACCTATACTAAAGTGTTTTTAAGATTAAAGCATAAAAGGTATAAAAGGTATATTTGTTTAAAACAGGGCTGCCTTTTTATCAAATTATCCTATCATCTTTGGATCACTCATATCTTGTTTGCTTGTTCTATAGTCTCTATTAACTTAGTTTTTCATGATCTATATATTTTATACCCAAATACGAATAATATTTGATTAACTAACTGGCAGAGAGGTCCAAGCTAATTGTGAGGCATCTTCATTTTGCTTTGCAAAATCCAGGGGGAAAGAATAAAAAAGCATTCCACTAAAATGCCTTGTGTTACTTTTAATAGCTTTCATTTTCAAAATACTTCTATAGATCAAATGCTAATCTAAAGTCTTAATCAACAATTTTACTTTTAAAGATAAATGACAGTATGGAGGATAACAGTATACTGGGCTTTCAATCCTGAATATTCACTATCATCATTTTAATGTGCAAATGGGGACAAAGTATTCCCGAGACTGATATATATACACCAGCAATTTACAAAAGTACTATGAATTAAGCAACCCATAAGTGCCTGTCCCAGTATTCATACATTACTGACTAATCTCTTTCTATAATCTCTTTGCAGTATTATTCCACAGTAATGGAACAGCAAGTAAATGGACAGTTAATAGAACCTCTGCAGATATTTCCGAGAGGTAATGTTGAACAAATTCTAATCAACAATGATTATTTCAGTAAACTGTTTCATCAACAGTTATGTTTTCCAAAGGTTTAAATGCACATAACATGATGTTTAGCTCTTAATTTGAAAAAACAAAAACAAAAACAAATCACAAAAGAAGTATTCATTATTGTGGGGATTGCAGACTATATTATAGTTATGGCAGATAAAATATCTAATTTACTAGAGTAAATTAAACTAACTAGATTGTTTTTTTGTTTTTGAAGTACATATTTACATTCGCTTAAAGAACACTTGGGAGGTCCACATGGTTTCTAAACCAAGGGAAATGAATGACTTTAATTTTGGGTATTTATAAATTGTGACTCATGATGATAGTCCAGGCTGCTGTTGTGGAGAAAGCTTTCAGCTAGAACAGAAGCCAAGGTTTACCAAGGACTTGAGGAGAGAATTTTTGGTAGAATGTTTGGAGCTTGTTTTTTTTAGGGTGGGTTTTCTAAATAAAGGAAAATTCTCATAAATGGAAATTGTTAAGTCTCCAAAAATATAAGCTGATTAAGGTAAGACTTGGTGAATCACTTGGTCAAATAATTTGCGTTTTTCCCTTTTAGGTTTGTCATTACTAGCCTTATATCAGATATGATTGTTCACCTGTATATAAACGTTCCCTCAAAATTTGAATAATGGAGAAAAAGAGCAGTTTAATTATATAAACCATTAAGTCTTCCATTATACACTGTCCCACTTGGAATCCATGTTTTCTAACTGGTGGAACAGATATGGAAATTCTCTAAGTAACTCTTCTAGAAATAACTTAATTGAAATAATTAAAAGTTAAACTTACCTTCGTTAACTGATACTGTACAAATAATCATGGTACGAGTTTTCCAATTAAACATTCTAGACTTTCATTACTTATAACACTCTGAAGTTTGAATGGCTCAATTAACTAGTAGACTCTTTATTTGCACTGATAAAGTCTCCAAAGGCAGGAGACTCAGCCAGCCCACAAGATCTGGGTTCAAGAGCCGTGCTGCTCTTCTGGCAATAATGTAGGAGGTGGGATTGGGAATACTTAGTAAATTATTAATAATAACTTATTAAAGAGCTAAGTAAATAAAATTGGGCCATTGATAGTGTGTCTGAAACAAGAATTACGATTAATCTAATTCTATTGTACTTGAGGACTAAAAACTGAAAGAAATGTTGCCATTTTTTTATATTAGTCTAATAATAAGGATGCAGATTTTTTTTTTAATATTTTTAGTGACTGGAAAACTTGGTCAAGCTTCAACATTGCTTCTGCACAAAGAATATTTTCTCTTTTGCGAGCAGAGCTGTCAGTGTTACTCTGTATATCATTGTGCCCCCTCCCATGATAACAACAACCATTTTCAGATATCTGCTCTGTTCCGGTACTAATAGTGCTGTGTTATTATTTATAATTCTCCCAACAGTTTTGCCTATTATGTATTATCGCTGTCATTGTATAAGTAAGAATATTGAAGTTCAAGGAGGTGTAGTCATTTCAGAATCACATAGCTTATAGTGGGTAGTGTACCCCTTGAATAAGAATTTTGTTTATAATATAATTTGCTGAAAGTAAAAGGGCAGTTTTCCTCTCCTGGGGATGGTGACTTCAGGCATGCACAATGGTCCAGCGTTTGACATACCTTCGAGGCTGTCCTACAATACGGCCTGTAACAAAACTAGCCTGCCTCGAACTCCTAGTAGTAGAATTGTTTACCTTTATGCAAGAAATTGGGCAAGCCCCCACATCTGCAGGTGGCATGTATCCAGGCCACCTGGGTGGGGTTTGTGCTGTGAAACTTAAAGTTCTAATGAGGTTGTCTAAAACGGTGAAACATGTCAGCAGAGCCCGTGGTGGATCCATGTGTGCTAAATGTGTCTGTGACAGGATCAGGCGTGCTTTCCTCATTGAGGAGCAAAAAATCACTGTGAAAGTACTGAAGGCACTTCAGAAAGCTATTTTTTTAAGAAGCTTTTTTGAATAATAAAAGTAATCAAAAGGCTAAGAAAAGAAAGCAGAAGGGCATACAAGTAAAATATTAATGGTGTGCATGGGGAAAGTTTGAAAAGGTTTGTAGGAGTGTGGAGAAGAGTGAGCTAGGGACAAGATACTGAAAAGAAGAAAATAAATTTCTAACACAGAACTGATTAGACTCCAATAAATTATTAAATAAATTCCTCCCATGCCAAATTTAAATTTTTAAAAATATGAGACTTAGTTACTCTACCCCCATGGGTTTGTAGCGGTTGTTTTTTGTATGCTATCGTACAACTCTTTTTGTTTTTTGTAGTCTTGCTTTTTGCTTACTTATGTACATCGCATATAGATAAATGAGATTAAACAAACTTATACAATTAGTATATAGACATATTGGGTATATTAACTGGGTCTATGTAGTTGGTTAGAGACCTCAGAACTTAGATTCTGTGGCCAGGCCCCATGTTAAGAATTTCTGGACTGAATAAGTGAGAAAGATGGGAAATAAAGTTTCTGTCCTAGTACCAGATGTTCTCTTCATTCCAAGTAGGACAATTGTTTTGGATGGTAACTCCCAGCTCATGGCTAGACGTCCTCTCTGTTGTTAAAAAAAATGTTATATATTAATAATTATGAAAATTTACCAGCTTTATAATGACTTCTGACTCTACAAGTTAGGAAGTATGGGGTTACTAGGCTTCTTGTTTTGTTTTGTTTTTTAATTTATCTTTATTGTTGAAAGTATTACATATGTCCCTTTTTTCCCATATTGCCCCCTCCACCCTACTCCCACCCTCACCCAGCTCTACCATACTATTGTCTGTGTCCATGGGTTATCAGATTTTCAGTCAGAAAGGTTTGAAACTGAGGAACGAGGCAGATATTAAAAGATAAGATTGGATGTCTGTCTCTATTTGCATAGTTAGCCTCTTATTAAATAAAGCTTATGAATGTACTGAGTTCTTTGTAGAAATACTCTGATATGTTGTCTTAGGAAGTATAAATGGTCCCTGAAGGACCAACCATCAAATCTATGTGACTGTTGTTTTGTTCAAAATTTTAATTTCCATTTTAAGGAAAGAAGATTTGGAGTCTTACTTTTAATGTATTTTGGAAAAAAATTTCTTTATTAAGGTTTAGATATATTTTCTAGGAAAATAACAATAAATACTTGAAGTATATAAATTTAAAGCTACTGATGTGCTTTGTAATTATTACTCATATTATTATTATTAAACAGCTGTATTTCTTGTTGTCAGAAAAAGGAAAAATACATGTACATCTGAGAGAGGGGGAAAAAAATCAAATTCATCCTTCCCCAAACAATCTATCAAAATTGACAGCCCCTTAACATATAATATGTAGGGCACTGTAGTTTTCAGATGGAAGCAGCCTATAGCACAGGCAGGAAGCTTTTCTATTTTTAACATCTGATGAAGAAGCATTAGCTGAATTGGAAAAATACTAACCTCTAACTCAGTGTGGTGTCAGGAAATTAATATTATTTTTCTTGGCACAGCTTTATCTTTAGACTTAAATATTAGCATATGTCAAGATTTGCAAGAAACATAGTAAAATTGTGACGTCTCTGTGTTTTAATAAATTTGATTGCTTATTGCTATGCAGACTTGAACATTCCATCTTTGAATCTGTAATAATCATTTTGGCTTTAAAAAAAACCCTTCTTCTACTCCTCTATCTCCTTCTACCCCCACCCTACCCCCCAAAAAACCTAGCTATTTTCAAAGTAGTTTAAGTGATAGCAGATATACAATGTAGTAGAGTGAGGACAGATTGCAGAAATTTGAATTATGAAAGGAATGTAATCATTTTAGCTCAGTTAACTTGATTTTTATATGTTTTAAGCAGAAATTGGAATTTATATAAGATGGTGTCAGAAAGCTCTTTGCATTTATAAATGCTCACTCCTGCAAGTTAAAAACCCTGGTTCATAATTCCCACTTTGGGTCTTGGGAGCCACTTTTCAATCATTTCTCTCTGCTAATTTTGGTGTCACCCTCATTTCTTTTTAAACGATTCATTTTGAGCAAATTTGTAAATGGCCCTGATGTGTTCTACAATTTAGTCAATTACTGTTTCAGCCTGCAAGCCTCCTGGGGAACGGAACATACATGGCCTGAAGGTACGCATTTCAATAATTGTTTCAGTAAAGTTAGATGGATTTGTAATGCTGTGTTCCACTTATTGAAATGTCAAATAAAACTGCACTTTCTCAAGCTCTGACAAGCAATCTTTTTTTTTTTCCTTTTTTAAAATGGGAGGTGGAGGGGGATTCATCCGTAGTATTTGCTTAATATGTGTATATATTTGGATACAAGGATTTTATTGCTATATATTTTATTATTTGGAATTGTTCTGTTGGTCTATTTCTGCAGAATGAGCCTGGATATTGGTCTCCACAAAGATTTATTTGAGTAAAAATATAGACTTCATTTCAGTGATTAATAAAGCACATAAGCATAATGCTCACAGAATACCCCCTCTTCTTTTGACATATTATGCTAGAAGCATATATCTATTTAATGTCTTTTCATTGTTCTGTACATTTCAATTCTGGGTTTCTGATTTAAGGCTTTACATTTGAAGGGAAATTTAGCTTTTAGGTTTAAACATTTTATAATTCATTACTTGAACTTGATTTTTTGTGAATATGGACCATTCAACAGTGTTCTGCTTAGTTTTAGAACTGAAAAAAGAACTGAAGATGAACCTTAGCTTGAGGTTCACCAGTGTATTCTTAATGTACTTTTTTGAACATAGGGGTCTTGGGTTTTTCTATATGAAACAGAACAAAACAGTAAATGGAATTTTTGCTCTAGAAGTAAATTCAGTTCTAAACAATGAATTGAAAAAAATTTCCTGTTTATCTCTTCTTTTTCTCAGCACTATTTAAGTATTTGAATAGTGACAGTTATAGAGTATTATGTACTATACAGTTTGTATAGTTCTGTAACCTATATACTAAATAGACTCCAACCATGGGTCTGTCTAGCATCAAACTAATTAACCTTCATAGTGAAATGAGAAATTTGTGGCAAATTATAGGTTAATTAGAACTGTATCCTCAGAACATAAAACTGATCAAGGTTCTTTCTTTACTTGTAGGTGAATACCCGGGCTGGACCCTCTCAACACAGCAGCCCAGCAGTCTCAGAGGTACTTCCAAGCAATAGGTGAGAGCAAGCAATAGGTGAAGCATGTCCATGAGCATGATTATCTACAGAGTTGGGAGTGGGGAAGAGGTGCATGGGATATCACCTCTTTTCTATAAAACAAAAATTATAGAAGAAATTTGACCAGTTAGGTTTTCCTAGCTCCGTGGTCGGCAAACCGACTCGTGAACCACATGCGGCTCTTTGGCCCCTTGAGTGTGGCTCTTCCACAAAATACCACGGCGAGTCTATTTTGAAGAAGTGGCATTAGAAGAAGTTTAAGTTTAAAAAATTTGGCTTTCAAAATAAATTTCAATCATTGTACTGTTGATATTTGGCTCTGTTGATTAATGAGTTTGCCGACCACTGCCTTAGCTAGCTAGCCACATATCAACCAAAGAGAAAGGACCTCAGAGGGAGAGATGAAATTCAACATGTTAAACTGTTAATTTTGACCTATGGAATGGTTTTCCTTCAATTACCAAATTATACAGAAAATTCAGTGCCTTTGACTATTTCATGCCTTGATGATCTGGTTTATAAATTGTTTAATGCTTTTTTTTTTTTCCTTGCTTGTACATCTTTTAGCAGTATCATTATCTATTAACATCTTAACCAGAAAGAGACAAGGAAAGAGTAAAGTGGTAAAACTTAAATTGACCAGTCATGTTGTACATTTTTGTATCTTCGGTTGCACAGGAGATTGAAACTATTTTGGAAGGAAGATAATTTTCATCAACTCATGATAACATTGCCCCACACTGTGACGGATACTAGAGACTTGAGCCTTTCGAAGTGTTTTTCTGACAGGCTTGAGAACTTCCAGTGCTCTAGTAGAAGTAGTGACCTGCTTAGGTTGATAGAATTCTAGGTCATCTTTGTTATACTAGTAAATTCAGTTATTTAGCTAGAAAACATATTGTACACACATACCTCAGAGATATTATGGGTTCTATTCTAGACCACCACAATAAAGGAAATAATGCAATGGAGCAACTCACATGAATATTTTGGTTTTCTGGTGCATATAAAAGTTATGTTTACACTATAATGTAGTCTGTTAAGTGTGTAGTAGCATTATGGCTAAAAAATATACATACCTTAATTTAAAAATACTTTATTGCTACAAAATGGTAACATCATCTGAGCCTGCAGCAAGTCCTAATCTTTTTACTGGTGGTGGTTCTTATCTTGATGCTCACAGCTGTTGACTGATCAAAGTGGTGGATGTTGAAGGTTGGGGTGGCTGTGGCAATTTCTTAAAATTAGACAGCAGTGAATTTTACCACATCTTCCTCTCACAAATGATTTCTCTGTAGCATGTGATACTGTTTGGTAGCATTTTACCGACAGTAGAACTTCTTTCAAAATTGGAGTCAGTTATCTCAAACTCTGCCAGCTAACATTATGCAATATTCTAAATCTTTTTTGTTATTTCAACAATCTTCACATCATCTTTAACAGGAGTAGATTCCATCTCAATAAACCACATCCATAAGGAACAACTCCTCATTTGTTTAAGTTTTATCATGAAATTGCAGCAATTCATTCGCATCTTAGGTTCCACTTTAAATTCTAAGTTCCACTTTAAGTTCTCTTGCTATTTCCACTACATCTGCAGTTACTTTCCCCAGTAAAGTCTTGAACCCCTAAAAGTCACCCATAAAGATTGGATTCAACTTCTTCTAAACTCTTATTAAAATTGATGATATTTCGACCTCTTCCCATATATCATGAATGTTATTAATGACATCTAGAATGATGAATTATTTCCAGAAGGTTTTCAATGTACTTTGTCCAGATCCATCAGAGGAATCACTATCTATGGCAGCCTTACAAAATGTATTTCTTGAATAAGACTTAAAAGTCATGATTATTCTTTGGTCCATGGGCTGCAGAATGGATGTTGTGTTAGCAGACATGAATACAACATTAATCTCATTGTACATCTTTGTCAGAGCTCTTGGGTGATAGGGCACATTGTCAATGAGCAATAATATAGGGAGGGATTTTTTTTGGGGGGGGGCACAGTAGGTTTCAACTTTAGTAGGCTTAAAATATTCAGTAAAATATGTTGTAATCAGGCATGATGTTATCCAGGCTTTGGCTGTCCATTTATGGAGTACAGACAGAGTAGATTTAGCATAATTATTAAGGACCCTAGGATTTTAAGAATGGTAAATGAGCACTGGCTTCAACTTAAGCTCACTACATTATTTCTTAAAAAGAGAATCAGTCTGTCCTTTGAAGCTTTGAAGTTTTCATTGACTCTGTCTCCTGAACACTTAAAGACCACTATAGAGTTATTAGTTGGTCTAATTTCATTATTGTTGTATGTAAGAGAATGGAGAGGCTGGAGGAGATAGATAAACACATAGGGAATGGCTAGTCAGTGGATCAGTCAGAGCACAAACATTTATTAAGTTTGCTAGATTATATAGATGCAGTTTATGGCTCCCCAAAACAATTACAATAGTGACATCAAAGATCACTGATCACAGATCACCCTAACAAATAATGAAAAAAAAATTTGAATGTTGCAAGAATTACTAAAATATTGCAAGAATTATTAAAATGTGACTCAAACACGAAGTGTGTAAATACTATTAGAAAAATGTCGCTGTAGATTTGCGTGGTGCAAGGTTGCTGCAAACCTTTACTTTGTGAAAAACGTAGTACCTGCAGAGTAAAAGAAGGCAAAGTACAATAAAATGAGATATGCCTGTATTTGAAGATGATCCAGAGAAGGTGATTGCTCTGTTTGTCAGTGACTGACAAACCAACATCAAACCAAAAAAGAACACTTCCTTTCTGTGCCAGGTTTTTCTGGGTTGAAGGCTGTAGCCAGTATTTGCACAGCCCTTTATCAGTTGAGATGTAGTTTAGGCTTCTACTTTCCTTTGCATAGCTTTTCTTCCCCTCTTAACCCTGAGTCTTGGAGGTTTTTTGTTTGTTTGTTTGTTTGTTTGTTTGTTTGCCAGGGGACTTTACTGTAGGTAATTTAAAGTCTCTGCTGACTCTGTCTTTACTCCTGTTCCCTCCCCAACGTCACTTCTTGATTGTAGTGTCATTATATCTACCCACCAACTTTCCTGCTACAACCATACTACTCTTAAAGTATGGTTCCTTCTTAAGCACTTCATTCTGTCTTAAAATACAACCTGGTTATTCACCAGTTAGTCATCTGTCTTGTGATCATGGGGTAGATTTCTTAGTTCTCATCCAGGGTTTGACCTTGCCAGGCAGTGCTTTGTAGCTTCTCTCTTCCTACTTGTTGGGCACGTGAACCATGGTCCAACAGAGTGGACCATTCATTACACTCATTACACTCATTACACTCAACTCATAAAGGTCAAGACATTTAATTACTACCACTACTTGCAGAAAAGGTATTTACACAGGCTGACCATGAGCCCTGAGAAAAAAACCAAGACTTTTCTTGGTGTTTTAGGTCAAATTTTGTCATTTTATAAAGAGAAGATAGAGTTGAAAAAGATGGCAAGACAGAGAAGAAGCAAAATAAATTTTCAGTTCCCTCAGATTTGGTTTTAGCATGAGCGAATTAACTTGGTTTTTTTTTTTTTTTAAGTATCATTTATACTCAGAGTATTATAAAATCTTTGGGTTGGAAGAGTGTCTGATCTAGTGGTTCTCAGCCTTTTGTTGTAGCATCTTCCCTTAGGGTATGACAGCCTCCCAAATCATAACAGTTTGCTCCAGTAGTGATTTCTATTATGGGAGCAATGCAGCTTGAACAAGTCCTGCAGGTGATTTTAATATGCCACCTTGGCGTGGCCTTGTTCTGTGCCTCATGTTGATAACTAAACAATTTTATTGAGTGTCTTCAACTCATTAGGATCTGTCCTACACATTAGGAATACAATGTGGCCTTTATCCTTTAGAGCTTGCTATCTTGTAAGCACACAGCCCTTACAAGATATTGGTGCTGAGTTGAGGGGAGGTATAGAGAGAGAGGAAAAGAGCAATAGGGGTGATGGGCGGAAAGGAGGTAGACAGGAGCCAGGTCATGTGTTTGAATTTTCCTCTCAATGTTAGAGGACTTTCAGTAGGAGAGTGCCCTGGCCAGCTCTGTGTTTATGAAACACTCTGCCTGTGGTGTGCAGAATGAGAGGAGAAGCCCCAGTCTAAGCCTACTCTCCTTACATGCTTGACTTCTGCTTGCCAGGTGATCATCCGGACTCTTTCTGAACATCTCTATGGCCGGACTGCTCTTTATTCGCCAAGGCAGCCTCTTCCATTTTCATGTAGCTCAATCTTTTTCATGAACCGAGATTTGTCTCCCTTTACTACCCACTCAAAGATTTGGTTTACCCATAGAACAGGGCTGTTCTCTCTTCTAGATAATAACTCGCCAGTCGTCTTCCCTCTAAACATACTTCTCTGAGATTTCTGATATCAGTGAATTCTCTACTCAGCTGCTTACCCCAGATGACCTGCCAGTCATCCTGCACAGCCTCCCTCAGCCCCACATGCAGTCATTCCCTACCTCTGAATCATCCTGGGGTCTTGTCTACTTGCCAGCATCCCTGTTGCTATAAAGGTTGTTCAGGGTCTGGATCATTGCTACAGCCTCCCAATAGTTTCCTCCCTCCAGTCTTGCCCCATTGAAGTCCCTCCTGCACACTGTGGTCAAAATTGCCTTCTGATGTGAGTTCTAAGCCCATCATTCCCTATTTTACTGCTTCTCACAAACTCCAAGGAGAAGTGTGCCCTCACAGCAGGTGAGCAGTGGCCTTTTACAAGTGGGTCCTCTGCCCATTCTGGCCCCCAGCCTGCCCCTTTGCCCCCTCTTATCCGACAGTCTAGGTCTGCTGGTAAAATGTGTGAAATGTGCCCTTAATGGATCACGTTTCCTCTCACTACTGGGGTTTTCACCTCTGCTACCTCTTTCCTGCTTTGCTCCTCTTTTAATCCCCTTCCTTACCTTCAGTCTGGCTAATTTTGGTCATCTTTGAGGAACAAAACTGTTACCTTCTAAAAACCATCCCTGATTATTACCCAATTTCTGGTCTATACCAGGTACCCCTTCTATGAATTCCCATAATCCCCCTGTGCTTGCCTTACTATATCAGCATGTTGTATTATAATCTCTGTCCCCTGTAAATTCTGTGCTCTTTGAGGACAGAGACTATAACTTATTCATTGTCTAATTCCTGGCATAATTCTTGGGATATAGGAGATAGTCAGTAATGCTTGAATGAATGAATGAATGAATGAATGAATGAACACACTAATTTAGATTCCCCTTAAGTCTTTTTTTTCTGGATTAAATTCTCCCAATTCATTCAACTTTTTATTAAAACCTTTTTTTTTTTAAACTGATTTTTCGGAGAGAGAGAGAGAGAGAGAGAGAGAGAGAGAGAGAGAGAGAGAGAGAGAGGGGAAGGAAGAGGGAAAAAGATAGAAGCATGGATGAGAGAGAAACATCTATCGGCTGCCTCCTGCATGCCCCCTACTGGGGATGCAGTTCTGGGCATGTGCCCTGACCTGGAATCTAGCCAGTGACTTCTTGGTTCATGGATCAGTGCTCTATCACTGAGCCACACTGGCCAAGATTATTTAGGCTTTATGACATTATTTCTAGTCTCACCCTTTTACTCTTCGTTGGATGCCTCAGTGTCCCTCTGAAAGTGTCATAACCAGGTTATAATTGTATCACATTTAAATTTTAAAAAGACTTTAAAAATGATCTTTAAAAGTCACTGTGATCAGATAGATAAATAAAATATCGAGTAGACTGGGCCACAAAGAAAATTTCAGGATACACAGATATAATTTTTTAAATATATTTTATTGATTTTTTCACAGAGAGGAAGAGAGAGGGATAGAGTGTGAGAAACATCGATGAGAGAGAAACATCGATCAGCTGCCTCCTGCACACTCCCTACTGGGAATGTGCCCACAACCAAGGTACATGTCATTGATCAAAATCGAACCCGGGACCTTTCAATCCGCAGGCCAACGCTCTATCCACTGAGCCAAACCGGTTTCAGCCAGATATAATTTTTTACCAGACAAAGCTGGTAGCCAGATATTGGCATAATGAATGAAATCAGCTTTTTCCTCTGTTACTCTCTACGCATGAATCCATCTTTGCCTTAGGTGGGTGGCTGTTTGTTAAATTGAGTTTACTAATCCATATGGTGTTCCTGGGTCATAATCCCAACATCTTGGTTTTTGCCTTCTATAAAATTAGAATGATTAGACTTTCTGTCTACCTCTGGTGTTAGAAGACTGATGAAGTTGTATTAAGGAGTCACGTTTGTTTCTTAGATGAAAGGTATTTTGTAAATGCAATGAATCAAAATGTTATTATTTCAAGTTGCATAATAAAATGGAGTATCTGTGGAGAAACATTGCCTGAGCATTCTTTGGTTATTTCAGTTTTTACAAAAAATTGCAGCTATTAAATTGGGAGTCATCTATGGGAATAGAATGATCTAAATGTTTTTCAGAGGGAAAAAGTATGTGTTAAGAGAGAGAGATTGACTTTGAGCAAGGTTTAATTTTTTAAATATAAATTAGGAGTAACTATATCCCACAGGCCAGTCTTCCTAAACGAATGCATAGTTATTGTTAGGATTAAATCAGGATAATAAATAATAGCATTTAGCATTAGTGCCTGGTGTGTGTGTGGTCACCACTTAGTAAATGTTAGTTGCTATTTTTTAATTTTTTTTTTTAACTGGAATGATTTTAGGCAGTCACTTTTATATATATATATATATATATATATATATATATATATATATATATATATATATATGTTTCAGCTTTGGTTCCATTCTACAAAATTCCTTACTGGTGCTTCAGTGCATGAATTCTTAGATTTGGGAGGATATTGTTCAAGTTTGGAACCCTTGGTTGAGGTCATGTTTTATAAAATCAGGGGAAAGTAGAGACTAAAGTTTCATAGTCTTTATTTGACCATAGCAAAAGTTTAAGAAGTATTTATAAGGAAGACTGTTTATTACTTAGAATAGTGAGTGTGTGTGTGTGTGTGTGTGTGTGTGTCCAACATATAATAATAGCCATAACAATTATCACTATCAAACACATGCCAAGTCACTGGGCTAGGTTCAAGGGTGCAAAGGGAATGGAATATATAGATTCCTTGTATGCATTCTCAGGGATCTTTCAGTTTTGGGGCAGGTGTGGTAGGTTGAATGACATCTATCTACGCAGATGACTAACACAGGGAGAAGAGTTACTTTGGAAATTGAGGTTCAGAGAGAATAAATAACATGTCCCAGAGCACACAGCTAGTGAGTACCAGGATTTATTTCCACTACACATTTGCTTCCCAGGAAGTGAATTTTAACTCTAATGATAGTGAAAGATCAGGATTTAAATCAGCTTTTCTTTTGAAATTCTCTAACCTTTGTTTAACGGGAACGTTCTAAGAGTACATTATTAAGTACTTTGTATTTAGCAGATAAAGAGTCCACATAAAAAAGCCATTGAAAGGCTACCCAAAGGCAGCAGAACTAAGCCAAAAAAAAAAAAAAAAAAAAAAAAAAAAAAGTCACGGAAGTAGTCTACAATATTCTATCTTCATTTTGACTGAAGGCCTCTTTATTGATTTAAATTACTAATAGTATTGCAGTCACTTTATTATAATGTTTTCTTTTTTTAAAAAAATACATTTTATTGATTTTTTACAGAGAGAAAGAGAGAGGGATAGAGAGTTAGAAACATCGATGAGAGAGAATCATCGATCAGCTGCCTCTTGCACCACCCCTACTGGGGATGTGCCAGCAACCAAGGTACATGCCCTTGACCAGAATTGAACCCGGAACCTTTCAGTCTGCAGGCCAATGCTCTATCCACTGAGCCAAACCGGTTTCGGCTGCAGTCAATTTATTAATGAACAGTTTTGCCATTTGGCCAGTTACTTTTGAAAAAATATTATATAAGGAGAAGGATGTAAAGAGTATAGTCTCTGTATATATGTTTTTACTCTGGAATTTTCAGTGGTGTTCAAAGATGTCGATGATCTTGCCATTAAAAATTATCTTTTCCCTTTCCAGCTTAAAGAAGTCTTCTGCTGAACTGAAAAAAATATTAGCCAATGGCCAGGTAGGTGTCATTGTTAATGTTTTCAGTTAATAGTAACTTATTACTGTCTAGTCTTTGTATCCATAAACTTAACAAACAGATAAAAGAATCCATGAATGTCTTCTTGTCATAAATGAATTACATGGCTTAATTTGATTGGCAGAACAATTTGCAGCACGTTTTTCAAACTGTGCTAATGGGTTTCACTCCCGGCAGATTGAAGTACCATGCACACACCCTGCTGCCTTCTCAGTTTAAAAAAAGTTAATCAGTTCTGAACAAGTGTGTCAACCCCTGGGTTGTCGGAATGGCCCTGCATCCTGAGGTGACTGTTTCTTTCATTATCTTTGGGGAGAAAAAAGAAACCAAACTGTTACCTTCTCACAATAGCGCACTTCTTTTGTACCGAAACTGGCTTTTCAGAGAAATAGAATAACAGCAGATCTTTGGCATTTAAAATCCCAAAGCTTTAGGAGCTCTGGTTTGCCTCGTAGCCGACTGGCCATCTTAAAGCCGCATGACCTAACCCAGCCAGAGAGGGGCAAACGGGCCTGCAGGCCACTCATTTCTCACTAATTTTGATTCAAGCAAATGGACACATCTGAAATAGTATAGTGCTTTTAAACATACATTGGTAAATTAAGCTACCTACAGGGTCCTCGATTCTTCAATAGCAACATAAATGTGTTTTAATGTTTGCTATGGAGGAAGCCCTTTGATAGCCTTGGAGGCAGGCGCCTGTCCATTGCGATTAAGCCTGCCTATTAGGCTCTATTGACTGAGACATCTGTGTCACTGCAAATAAAAGACTCTTATTGATTTTCTTAACTGCTGTTCACTTCCCGTCCATGTTTCGAAGTCTGAAATCTTAATTATCTCAGATGCTTATTCAGTGCCTTCACACACTGACCTCTCCAAGCCTCATTGGCATTTCATGAATCAAGTACTTGTAGTGGAGCATGTCAAGAAGACAAAGCTGGGTCCTCATGCTTGTCCTTTAATATCACCTGTAACTTTATGGCCTAATAGATGGGTGTGCCTTAAAACGGCGACTGCTCGGTGGTGCTCCTGGAAGCCTGCCGTGTTTAGTGCACAATCCCTTGAATACAGTTGGAAAAAGTAAGCTGATCTGGTTTTAACATCTGATCGTCATCCAGAATGCTTGGATTCTAGTCCTTATACATTGCATACACAGGAAGACGAATCTGGTGCTGTAGGTGTATTCTTTATAAATTTCAGATCATATTTATCTAATATTTTTAACTTTAAGCAGTAAGGGAATGGCTTAGATCGAGGTTCACGTGTGTTCCTCTGGTGCCCTGTGTGTGTTCAGAATCAGTATGAAACCAACCTGATTGAAAGCACAGCCTAGGATATTTACTTTGTTTCCTCCCTGGGATATTTATGTATCTTCAACATCTTGTTACTAATTGTAATTTATGTATGAGTCGCTTGTGTTCTTCAGCTGGAAAATATATTTCAAAATTGACATAAATTAAGAAGCTTTAACTACATTTGTTCAACCCAGGCAATGGAAAATAACCTGTCATAGATTCCCCTTTCAAAAATGAAAAACAGTTTATTTCCACTGCAAAAATAAACATCCAGAAAATGTTGCTTGTGTTTTGACAGCAAACCTGGCACCATAAATATCGTAGTGGTCTCAGTTATGAGGTTCCCGTCAGTGGAAGATTGTCACGACAGTGGTTTTTGATGCTTAAAGATTGGATTGCTTTTCCTTGGGAATGTGATAACCCCACATTAAACAGTCTGGTGTTTTCTTTCTCTTAAGGATAAGCTTTTTTATATTTACTTTCATTCATAAAAACAAACACAATTGGAAGTCTTCAAAAATTCCTCCTCCTTCTACCAGTTCCTCAATTCCTTGACGCTGTATGGTAACTAAAGAGTGAGTGAGATTGCACTGCAGCGAGGTAATGTGCACAGTTGTGGGCATCAATAAATTTCTGGGCTGAATACTGACACCGCTTGATATGGAAGATGTAAGTCACATTTAACGATACTTTAACACTTGAGCATAGTTTTTTTATTTTAGTGGTTTATGCTCTCAAGCATTAATAATGATTTGCCTTCCCACTAGCCTCCACTTAGATTTAATAAGGAATTCATATTAATCATTAAAAGAAAGGGACATGATTCTTCAAGATAATCAAATATTGACAGGTTAGAAATAGCTTTCTGCCTGGGTTCATTGATATAGGTTATGTGATATAAATATTTATTTCTTTTCTGTCACTCAGAGTAAATGCCACCAATTGATTCAGCATTGATATAGTGTCAACAGTTCATAAGAAACATTTGACTGGCTTGTATTTTCCGATTAGTCTCTGCTCTATAAAGTGGGATTTACTAAATCTCTCCAATTGTCTGCTCATAGAGTGTGACTGCTTTCTGAAACCATTATTGCTTCGATTTGTGAAGCAAAGGTCTAGTGATAGGACTAGTTTCTGTCAGACCTTTACATATAAAATAAGGATTAATTGAGCATTTTTATTTTAATGATTTATAAGCGATAGATACTGATTCTTCTTAATACAGACAGACAATAAACAAAGAATATTTTCTTTGCTGATTCATAATTGAACTCCATTTCATTTTCCCCATTAATTTTATTAATATTATATTAAATCAAGCACTTTTTAAAAAGTTTAACAGTTAGTCATTGGATTAGAGACACCATTTTCCTGTTATTGCTTAAATAGAGGATTCCTTAAGGTATTTTTGGCATGTTTTATTTAGAACTATAAATCAGTACCAAATATGTGTTTTCTGGATGTGTTTTTCCCCACTTCAGGTTTAGTGTGCTATCATTATTTAATATTGGCTCTTGATTTGAAACTGAAAACAAACAAACAAAAAAAGTCCCAGTGAGTCAATTTAAAGGATTTAAAAAGTGCACAGTTATTCCAAGTATGCGTAACATTGATCTTTGCATTTCTAAAGTTGTCTTTCCTTTTTTTAATTTTTAGATTTTGTAGGAGATTTTGTGACAGTATTTTGTTATTCCCAATAAATCAAGCATAGTTGTACTGAGAAGTCACAGATCTAGAACTAAATTTGATCCTGCTACATGTTTGGCTGGTATTTTGAGAACGTCAAGTGCCTTTAGAAAAACTTTCTGTTTTAAAAAAACAAAAGGATGAGGAAGAAAAATAGATATTGTACTATAAAAATTAGCTTTAAAATCTATTCTCACCAGTATATAAAACTCTTAGATTCCTAAAGTTTATCTTAGATCCCATATGAAGACTGAAACATAAATGAGACTGTGCATGTAAGTCCAGACTACATGACACCCTCGTCTACCCACACAACACACTCTTTCCGCTCTGGGTGTTGTGCCTACATTTCTTCACCGCACCTGCCTCTCTTTCAGCAGGAGCAGAGCCCAGTGCCAGTCACTGCTCCAAGGTCAGTGGTCGGCAAACTCATTAGTTAACAGAGCCAAATATCAACAGTACAACGATTGAAATTTCTTTTGAGAGCCAAAATTTTTAAAGTTAAACATCTTCTAATGCCACGTCTTCAAAATAGATTCGCCCAGGCTGTGGTATTTTGTGGAAGAGCCACACTCAAGGGGCCAAAGAGCCGCATGTGGCTTGCGAGTTGCAGTTTGCCAACCATGGTCCCAGGTCATTTTGGCAGCTGACAAGTAATCGTATCTCTCATGGCTTTTTCTTTCTCCATCCTCACATCTATTATTCTGCCTTTTATTTGCCTTTTTGTTTTTAGTCAAAACAAGGAAACTGAGTTATAATTAAAATTTATTTTGGTATCTTTGTTGAATAAAACTTCTATTTCACCTCTTTGCTATGTAAAATGGTATGTGATTTTTAAAAGTTTTCTTCTTAAAAACAAATACCATAACTAATGAAATTGCTTTTAACTTGTGAGTGCCCTTGAGTTGATTATTTTCCCTCCTCTGGGCAGTGACCATGGATGGTGAGGCTGTCCATCCATACTTACACAGATCAGCTGCTGAGATTGAGGCTCTAGTGGAGCACATGAAAGACAGTTTTGGCTGTGACTATTGTTGACTAGTTATATGACCTATGTGAACTGGGCTAAATGCCTAAAATGCTATATAATTCTGTGGTTATGAGATCTGATCCTAACTATTGTATTATTTAAATGTACTCTGTGGCTTTTAAATCCCACTTTTGCATCATAATGAGCTCTCTTCCAGTGCTTCATTTTGAAAAGTTGGATTAGTAGACTTATCTAAACTAAAAGGGCAGAAGTGTTAACTGTTTGTTGATCCCTTTAATGGTTTTCCATAATTGAGGTCAATTAAAGTAACACATTTTGATCAGAGCTATGAAAATCTGAAAATTTTATAATCAATTCATGAGGTCAGCTCTGATAGTTTTCCTTTGTGAAACTTTTTTTACATCATAATATTTGTATGTCATACAAAATTAGAAAATTTAACAAAAGAAAAAGAATCTAATTTTTAAAATATAAAATCTATCAGTAAGTTCATAGGTCAGGCAATGGTCTATAAAACTTTAAAACATCATAGAAACACTTTACCCATTTTTAAAAAAATATATTTTATTGATTCTTTACAGAGAGGAAAGAAGAGGGATAGAGAGTTAGAAACATTGATGAGACAGAATCATCGATTAGCTGCCTCTTGCACACCTCCTACTGGGGATGTGCCCACAACCCAGGTACATGCCCTTGACTGGAATCAAATCTGGGACCCTTCAGTCTGCAGGCTGATGCTCTATCCACTGAGCCAACCGGTTTTGGCACTTTACCCATTTTTTTTTATGGATACTGTCTTTTTAAGTGGTATTGTCCCTAGAACTTGTTCAAAACCATTTTTATATTTATAATCTACCTCTTTATTCAAGGGATTCCAAACTCCTATCCTTGAATTTGCTTATGTAGTTAGTGCGTGCTATGTAATGGATTCCTGTGTTTGTGAATAACACATAGACACACACACACACACACACACACACACACACACACACACAAAACATTCTCTGTCTTCTGACTGTTCTGGCTGCCTACCACTCCTGCTTAGGTTGGAGTACTGGGAATGCTAGATGGGTGGCTGTTCCCCTTCTCTTTTCAACTTTAGAAGAACTTGAAGTTAATTTTTAATGGGTACTAGAGGTAAAAAGACTATGAATTTGGGATTATAATGTTTGAAGCCGTTCAGTGACATGCCATACTTACTCCTTTGCCTTCTCTTCCTCCAACAAAACACCACAAAATCAAACCCTCTCCAAAGTCCTAGATCTCTCCTTGTATATTATTGGAATATCAATATGTCTTGGTTTGGGTATTTTCTGAAAGGAAACTCCTAGTCCTTTTACCAGAAAGGCCCTTTTGGAGTGATGGAAGCAGAGGGGATATGACCACAGAATGCACCTCCACCAGAGCCTGGCTCTCATATACCCCATAGCTCCAGCCTACTTACTCTTAAATCTCAGTGCCACTAATTCAGAATTTGTGAACTTGAATGAAATTTACTTCAAGCCATGATAAGGGTACAGCTTATTTGCCTGAGTCATTTCATTAAAGTTTGATAAAAAGGTGTCAAGATGGGATGATGTAACAGCTCAAAAGGATCAGGGGAATTTTCAGGGGCTGATATATTTATAGATCACTCCTAGAAATTTACTTTAAGCCAGGATGAGGGCGCAGCTTGTTAGGCAAGTTAATGGTACAAATTAGGTTGTTAGAGTCATGTTTCAACTGCATAGAGAAATACTTTAAAGGAGTTAGCCTATTTGTACCCTGCATAGATACTGCTATTCACATATATATATCTTTTATACATATCAATCAAAGCAAACCCAGTAGCAACACTGCTATTTTAGCATCTCAAATTACTTTATGTGCTTCTTTTTTTTTTTAATGTTGTCTTAAAATTTATCATTTGTTCCAGAATAATGAGGCTTTTTTCTTCACGCCACATCTTTTATGCAGGTTAAAATATATTGTTGTTGTTGTTTTTCTGTATTAGTAATATAAAAGTACTAAGGAACAGAATTTCCCTAAAACGAGGAAATAGTCAGTTTTTCCAAGTTGTCTGTCATATATCCATTGACCCTAAATATAGTAATTAGCTAATTACAAATTGCATCAATCAGGTTGTACTACAATTAAATCGGGTAGGGAATTGGCCCTTGACACATTAATCTGTCAATATTCTTTTAGTGGGTGGCAAAGTGGCTTGAAGAGGAAGCTGTTTCTGTTACTTGCACTGTACTCCTAATTATTACAGTTCTCCGAAGCTTCAGTTTCAGAAATGTATAGAGAAAAATATTTCCCTTGATAAATGAAGCCTTGCTTTATTCAATTGGCGGAAGTTTAGAGTACAGCAAAATAGTTAAAGCTTTACTATAGTAGTCTGAAAGCAAACTATTTTTTTCCAGGTGGTATTGAATTAAAAACTCCATCCATTTTCTGCCCATGCAAGGCAGTTCAATTCCCTGGAAATTGATTTTTTTCCCAGGGCTTAATATGGCTTTTCCCAAGCTTTAGCTATATGGAAAATAACACCTTTATTGAAGCCACTTAGTGAACAAAGTTGGCAGTTAATTTTTAAGCAACCAGACCAGTGTGTAGAAAGTTACTAAATGGATCAAATATAATCTGACTACTCTTAAAGTAATTTGATGAATAATTATTTAGGGAGTTATTTTGGGTACTAAAATAATTTACTATTATTTGTGATACAAATGAGAGTAGTATTTGTTGCATAACAGTTTTACAGAACCTGGAAAAAATGTGTATGCTGTTTTATATATTAAATTTTGGAAATGACTTTATAAGAATCACATGCTTATATATGGCTTTCCTTTATGTATTATAATATTTGACTATATATGCATTTTAAAGTGCATTGATTTGGCACTTGTCTATCATCTAATATGATTTCTACCCAGTTGCTGTATACTAATTTATCATTTCCAAAGAAAAGCTATATCTACTTTAGGAAAAATCATTAACATTATTCATTTTGTTTAATGTTAATTATAGGGTCATCTGAGGAGTTTTCAGGGGCTGATTTATTTACAGATCGTGAATTAGATTATTGTGTATGTGTGTTATCTTCCCAAGTTTGACTTTGGTTATGTGCAGGCTGTTGCATTGGTTATATGTAGTACTGGAGACTGTGTTCTTATCAGTCTCTCTGACCTGACCCTTTTGAGCTATGTTATATCATCCCATTTTGACACCTTTTATCAAACTTTAATGAAATGACCCAGGCAAACAAATTGTCATTAAACTTTCCATCACTTTGTCCCTTGGTATCGTCTTTTATAAATTGGACAGCAAATGTTGTATTGATCTTCTCGTTCTTGCAGCTGAACTTGAAATGACCCAGACTGCTTGTTGTTTATGGCCCAGAGTTGCTTTTCCTTGACATTTCCATCCACAGCATGACACCCTTTTTGTTTTTCTTTCTTTCTTGTGCAGATGAATGAACAAGACATACGGTATCGAGACACTCTTGGTCATGGCAACGGAGGCACAGTCTACAAGTGAGTAGTCAATTTTGTTTAAACTTTCCACCCTCCACATGTGGGTATCCAAGTTCTCCTTGGCACAGATTTTTAAAAGACCACCAGCGTTTAGATCTTATTTCCAAATTTGACTCCAAAATTCTGCAAGGCATTTATTTTTCTCAGGAATTGCTTGGAAAAGTGCATTTATATAGCCTTTTAAATATTTCTGAGTCTGCATTTCTCCTGGGTGATCTGTTAATAGTCTACCATTACCAAGTGTGCCTTTAATTGGCCTGAAGTGTAATGCATTTTTTCCTTCTCCTTTAACATGATTTTTAAAAACTTGCCTGCACCCTGTGCTAGTTCCCTGCCTGTTTATATAGCTATGCCCGGTGGAGGGCAAACCTTATAAATACCATTACTTTGCCCTGTGTCGACATTGTAAATTATTAACAGGACTTCTTCCTGTTGTATTTCCTTTTCTCCCATCCCACTCCCCTGAGAGAACTACACATTGACAAATATGTTAAGTTGTAAAATTCTCCCAGATTCAAGTTGCAGTGATCTTGTCCTAAAGGAGTGTTCATTTTCATATTAAAAAATGCTAACCGTAAAATGTAGTTCTCTCAATAGGGAAGTCTTTCTCATGTTGTAGTGCAAAGTTTAAACTACATAATGTAATGTCTGGTACTTAATAGTCTGCAGTGGTGTATGAAAACTATTCCACTAGGAATTAAAAATCCATACTCTAAGAAAACCCTGAGGGAGTAATCCTCCAGAGAGCTAACCCTGCACCATTACAGTTGTGTTTTTACCTTAGATATTTTAACATTGATATTAATATATATTTTCAAAGTTGTAAAATAATTTATTTTCTAACTGGTTACTAATGGTTCCTAGAATTTTAATGAACCACATGAATACATGTAAAAATTGCATGTAACCATGAAGGGTCGCATCCTAAAACCCCAGAACAACCTCCACACGTAGATGCAATCTTGGCATAGAATTCGATTCCTCAGGGTAGACGCTCCTTCAAAGTCATCTGCTTCAGTCCCCACCCAGGGCTTCAAGTTCTCCCTAAAGGTAGAGCCAGGATGTGAGTCCTTTCTTCTGAATACAGTCCTTTCAGAACTTGTGTTTACATTATCTGGATGATTTTTCCTTACAGATGACTGGATACTGTGAATAGTTGGTCTTAATGTTAAATATTTCCATTGTGATAATTCAGAAGATTAAGTAAAGGCATATTTCCTATACAGCACTTGGGTCTTGCTTTGAAGTTGGTCTTAATATTAAGTATTTCCATTGTGATAATTCAGAAGATTAAGTAAGGGCATATTTCCTATACAGAGTTGGGTCTTCCATGAAGTCCCTCGTTCTGCACAAATAGCATCTCGTCATTTTAATCCTCTCCTCGCTTTTATCTGACTTGGATTTTTACTCTTTCTGAAGGTTCATGGGCTCAGGTATTCTTAGAAAGGAAGGAAGGAACACGTGTTCTGATTTTCTCCCGATTTTCCTAAAGGGAGAAGTGTTCAAAGCTTCAACCTTCCTTCTTCATGCTTTCATGCTGATAGCCAGATATAATAATACAGGAAAGATTTCTAGCAACTCTTTGGATTCCTTTTATTGGTTTCAAATGGAATCCAAAATCATTTCTTATTTGTGCTGTTTCATCAAATGTTTAACTGTTAAGTATGTTTGTAATTTTTAATCAAAGGCCTATTATGAATTTACTATCTTGGTTTGTTCCAGAAGGGAGAAAACATAAAGCCACCAAACCCCAGCAGATAATTTTTACTTGAAATAAAATTCTAATATTTTACCTTAAAACACAGGCTTGCCAAAACCGGTTTGGTTCAGTGGATAGAGCATTGGCCTGCGGACTGAAAGGTCCCAGGTTTGATTCCAGTCAAGGGCATGTACCTTGGTTGCGGGCACATCCCCAGTAGGGGGTGTGCAGGAGGCAGCTGATCAATGATTCTGTCTCATCGATGTTTCTAACTCTCTATCCCTCTCTCTTCCTCTCTGTCAAAAATCAATAAAATATATTTTAGAAAACAAACAAACAAAACAAAACAAAAAAACAGGTTTATCTCTTTAAAAGGGAGAGGGATGGAAGTAACATACCCACCTAGCAAGGAAAAATTATAGCAAAATTACATTAGTATTTTTTAAATATTATTTTTAATTGTGATAAAATAAATATAACATAAAATTTACCATCTAAATCATTTTTAAGTTCAGTGGTATTAAATACATTCACATTATTGTGCAACCCCCAACAAAGAGTTCTGCAGAACTCTTTTCATCTTGCAAATATGATACCTTGGCCGAAACCGGTTTGGCTCAGTGAATAGAGCGTCAGCCTGCGGACTGAAGGGTCCCGGATTCGATTCTGGTCAAGGGCATGTATCTTGGTTGAGGGCACATCTCCAGTAGGGGGCGTTCAAGAGACAGCTGATCAATGACTCTCTCATCGATGTTTCTAACTATCTCTCTCCCTTCCTCTCTATTAAAAAAAAAAAAAAAAAAAAAAAAATATATATATATATATATATATATATATATATTAAAAAAAATATGATACCCTGTGCCCATTCTATATAATAAAAGGCCAGCAACCATAAGTGTAATGACTGGAACGACTGCTCGACCAGTTGTTATGAGGTGGGGAGCCAGTGAGGGGAACCGGGTGGCTGGCGGGTGTAGCAGGACAGGACAGGGAACTGGCGAGCAGGCAGAAGATGGGCCTGATCGCAGGCTAGGCCTAGGGACCCAACCCATGCACGATTCCGTACGCGTGGCCTCTCGTTAAATAATAGCTTCCCATTTGCCAGGTCAGTGTTTTTAGCAAGAAGCATGGCTAGAACTTCTCCTCCTTTTATTAGGGGCACAATATCCAAGGGAACATCCTCCCACGTGTCCTTAGCCCTTTAACTTGCTGTCATGCTGCAGCGAATTAGCAACTTATTCTAAGAGTACATTTAGCTGCCATTTCTTAGGCTTAATATGCTTGTTGGAAGACAATGGTTTTGGCAGTGGTTGTTAATGGAGGTTGAGCACTAAAATATGATCATTTTAGTACTTTATTTTGTATAGTTGATTTCTTATAAAAAGAAGACATTTCAGTTATCTTATTGCCTAGTTGATTCTTAAGGAAAAGGACATGAAGATTCCGAATTGTATAACTTCTTGTCATTGATTGTTGGCCTTCACTTCTTCCTGGGCTTCAGTGTTTGCTGTTCTTATGTCCCTGGCCTTTAGTTCAGCACAAAGAAATGACATAATCCATCAAGAAATGAAAATCCACTTTACTAGAGTCTCTATAAAACCAAATCTTTTATGTGTTATGATTGACTTTCTCCTACAATAAGTTTACCTTAATGGTGTTGACTATAAAAATTTTGATTTTTTTTCAAACAAAATGATTACATTACAGGCTATGCTACATAAACTAGATGAAGAAAATATTGGAAAATCCACTCATTGGTAACAAAACTGCTTAATGGGCCTATTTAATTTTTTTCTTACAAAGTATAATAAAGCTAATAAATACAAAGCAAAAGTTTAACATTCCAGTCTTACTTGCTCCACTTTATGGGCTATTGTAACTTGCAAGGGACAGACTGCAGTATATATTATTTAATAGTTGATGACATTTTCATCCCTTAGATCTAGATGTTCTCTCCAATTATGCAACATGAAATTTTGGGCCCAGGCATTTAAACCAAATGTGGATTTTGTGTCTAGTCCCTGCTGTTCTCTGATAGTGACCTAGGCAGATAACTTTAAGTTGGTATTTCTTGGATTACTGAGTTGGATGAAATGGACCATAAAGGAAACACCTTTCACTAAAACATAGCCCAAGCCTAGGAGGAAGAATAATTTAGGAAAAGGAAAAGAATGCACCTTCATTATTGCTCCATTTGCCAAAGCACTACAAGTTGTTCTAAAAAAATTAATTCAGGAAAGACACATGTTCTATTCCCCTCTGAAAGATTCACAGTGAATCTCAAAAGCTTTGAGAAAGTAGAAAGCAGTATATGTTGTGATTACATGTATGGGCTCTGAGTATGAATCCTGTATCTGCCACTAACTAGCTGTGTAACCTCGGGAAAGTTATATAATGTCTTGTGCCTCAATTTCCCTGTGTGTAAAATGGGGATATCTGTCTACAAAGTTGTTGTGAGGTTAAATGAGATGTACCATAGAAAAAGCTTACCACTATGACTGACACTAAATGTTAGCTACTGGTAATGGTAGTACTAATAACAGAAAGCTTTATGCTCCCTATGCTTACTTGGCTATGGGATTATTTTTCTGAGATACACCTATAAACATCTCACAGAATTACTGTTGTGTTGAATTAACTTTGAGAAATTCTACATTGTATTATGATATGTAGTATATTTCTGTGTTTTCTATTTTCTAGTTGTCTCATGAATATGATTACATAAATCTTACAATGATTTTTTTTTAAGTTTCTAAGTATTTTCTCTTTCATCATGGTATTTTGTAATTGCTGTAGGATAGCAAGTATAATATTAAGCCCATTTTACCACTGGGCTCGCATTCCCGTGACCATTTGGAAGCAGAGCCAGGAACTCTTTCAGAGCTCCTCTTTCTTTCACTGTCCCCCCCTCCATCCCCCCAACAGTGTTGTTTCTCAAGGTCAAGCAGAGTCCATTGTGTTTCCTTGTATTTTCTGGGGTACCCAGCATAATCCTAAAGATAGATAGATTCTTTATAGTACATGCTGGCTGAAATGGAATGAGGCAAGTGGAGGTTTTTCAAGGTGATTTTAATAAGGCTCTTTCATTGGGTCCTCCCCATATTTAGCTACTTAAAGATCCTGCAGAATTCAGAGGCTGCTTAATTGTTCTCGAATATTAACCAAGAAGAATAGAAATTTCTAAATTAAGGGCTATATTTGTGTGTGTGTTTTGTTTGTTTTCTGGGTTTGATCAAAACTTTATTACTTTTGGCCAAAGGCTCTTCTAAAACTCACAGAACAAAAACAAAACAACAGT